TAATAAACCTACACTTCCAAAAAGATAGGCTGCATAATTTTGGAATTGGGTGATTTGCTCCTACCTACCCTTTTCCATGTTATGTATTTTTACCTTGCCACCTGCTGTTATATCTGAGGTGCCCATTTACACTTCTGATTTTAAACAGAGCAGCCTGAGAAGTATGGGAAAGGCTGGTCAGGATTGGACATTGAATGTGTATTAGTTTAACAGCAACTAGGATTTGTTATGGCAAAATATATTTTCTTCTCAAAGTTGTGATGAATATAAAATTTGAAAATGTCTGACCTGATTTTATCCGTGTCTGGATCGATATCAGACTGAATGAAGAGGATCTGGTTTTGCTTCCTACCTAACATATGAGGATCACACTTTTTTTAAAGCTGCCTCTTGTGGCATAGTTGGCTTTTGAAATGACTGGCTTTTGAAAACTGAGCGTTGGCTTTTCCAAGAAGTTATTTAGGCTCAGTTCATATTGCTGTAACACTTAGCCTACCAATTTAAGTGGCAAAGTTCTTCTGTAGGTTGCACTGCAATCTCAGCTAGATAACCTGCATTCAAACACTGAGATTCGGGTGGGCAACAGACTCCTCAACAAGTGTCTGATAGACAGTGTGAGTGCCCTTGGGCAGGGCGGGAGATGGGGTACGAGAGAGAAAGGGGCTGTTACTAAACTGTTGAACCAGGTTTTGTTAGCAGCTGGTTGAGTGTTATTTCTAGACATTTCTATCCATTTGTAACAGAGTGGCCAGAGTCTGAGAGCTGGGTTTCATATAATGAACAAATTAGTAGCTTAGCTAAACTCTTCAAAGAAAAGCGTTCTTATTTCCCTACATATGAAAATAATCTTCTATTTCCAACCAGGCATTCCTACTTTTAGCTTGTACCTTTTCTGGGCTTTACTAAATGTTAGCTCTGTCTATGGTCTGACACAACATGCTAAATTCTAGGAAATAAACCTTAGTGCATTGGTTCACCAAGGAGTTTGAGACATGCAAGAAACAGGGCAAGGAATGGGGTGGGACCCTGGGAGCTGAGGCTGGGCCAGAATAAAATAAAGGGGAAAGAGCCAGTTTCCTTTCTGCACATGATTCTCAAGATCTGCTCCACTGCTTGTTAAGTTTCAGCCTTGCTTTCCAATGTCTAGAATGTGGTGAATCAAAAGTATTATAAAAAACAAACAAGACCCCTCCCCTGCAAATCCAAACCCTCTGCTCTGTAGCATTGAGGAATGAAGTTCAAATAGTAGATTTATCTTTGGACCTGCAAGGTCTTGAGGTTTGAAACAAGAACACATGGTTTCAGCTTAAGGAAACATTCAGAGCCATTTAAAATACTTTTTTTTTGATTTTTTTTTTCCTCCAGTGAGCTAGTGCTTTAGCAGACATTTGATATCTTTTGAAGTGGTTTTTGAGTACTCATGAGGTTAAGAACTAGGTTCTCTCTTGTAAATGTGCTTGGCAAAAGAAAGAAATTTGCAGTAAAACCAGGCCCTAATAACTTCAGAGTGAAGATACTTGAAATAAATTGGCTTTAGGTTAGCCCATTCAACTAAATGCATAGGGACCTAAGGAGGCATTCACCTGTCAAGGTGTTTCCTGGTATTAGGTTTGAGGCTAGGGGGGAAGTTCAGCCAGAACTTTGGGGTTTTATGGCATGAAAGTAGGAGGCAAAGCAACCATTCATCTCTCATTCTCAGCAGAAGCTGACAGAATGATGACAGAGTTCATCCAGTTTCAAGGTAAAATACCAAACAATACTTGTAGTAACAGTGTTAAAGAGTATTAAAGAGTAAATAATTTTAAAGGGTTCAACTGCAAAAACAAAGTTCCTTTTTAAGCAGAGAATTCCCAGCTTTTTCCTGTCCTTAAATATATTGCTTGATGCACAAATCATCATCTTCAGGGATAATTTTTTCTTTCACTTCTCCACATCTCAAGCACTGCACCTGTTAACTATCATCAAAAGACTGTAATTAAATACATATTTTATAAGTTTCATGGGAACAGAAAGAGGAGTTGTGGGTGCTGCTATTGATTGCTTTGCTGATTTAAAACCAAAACAAAGACATAGGCATAAAGAAAAAGGCAGAAGATGCTGTATGTGAACTTTTCTCTGTAACATCTAGTACAACTGTGGAAGTTCTGCTGTTGTGAAACCTTAGGAAATACTCCACAAAGACATGAGCAAATTGTATGACAGGAAAAGAAAGAAAATGGGAAGGCGACAGAGCCTGGGACTGACTGTGTGGTTTGGAAAGCAGATAGTTCTGCCAGAAGGCCATTGTAAATCATTTGTAATGCAAACTTGTACTTAACGTGTCATGAGCAAATTGAATTAATTGGACAGATAACAGAGAATAAAATTGCTAGTTGCCTAATAACCATTACAAGACACCTACAGAACAAGGAAGAAAAAATAAATATTCATATAGAATTTGGAAATAGAATAGCTGAATGGTGCTCTGAGCTGTTTGGCCTTAATGACTGGGACAAAACAAACAAAATCGCTCAAAATTCTGCAAGCTCTGTGTCAGACCAAGACTGGATGAAAGAGAGAAAAGAGAAAGCAGTAGCACTCTGAAAACGATCACTGTTACCTGGGTTTGAGTTATGAGGAGGTATTGAATGCATGTAGCTTAGCCTACTAAATATATATATATATATACATATATATATATTTATACATATATATATATATTTATACATATATATATATGATTTTGAAGGAAATGGAAATGTTTTAACAGAAAACATAAGCAGGAGAAATTATTCTTTCCCTCTATTAAGAAAAATGTGTAAATAAAACTATTGGTAAATAAAACAAAAACTATTTGGCAGTTTAAGGTACATGCTGAAGGTGTAACACAAATAAAAGTATAATCTAAAGTATCTAAAGTATTGGCATTTTAAAGTACATGCATAATACTGACTCCAAATAAAAAAACTATTTTCCACAAAGGTAGTCCCTGGGCTGTGTTTATCTGTAGTCCCAGGAAAGATTAATGATTTCCCCCAAAAGAGAAAAGTTTAAAGGAAGTTAAGTGGAGCTAAACATTCAAATTGAAAAAATAAAAGTATAAATGAAGTGTTTATTTGAAGAAAAAAAAAGAGTTTTAAAAGCACAAAATTTATGAAGTCAAAACTAAGAAGGGAAGCAACAAAAACTTTGCCTTCTGTGACAATTAGTGTATTTTAAGCAATACGTGTGAACAGAACCATGTAATTGCCTCTGTTTATAATTTATATGTAACAGTAGGAAGGAGAAAAGGCAAGTATATTATTGCCTCTGCATTATAAAAGCTATGAAATATAGAGTATTGATTCAGGAAAGTTAAGTACACAAAGGAAAAATCTGTGATTGGAGACAATATAGCAGGTTTTAAGTTTATATGGAAAAAGATCTTAGGAGAACTGTAGATGTATTAATTGTAACAGCAAATAACAATAAAATTCCACAAAACTTGTGGTAGTGCATTAGCAAAAGTACTTATAGAAAATTGAAGATAATGTGCTTCCAGCAATTTCATAGAGACTAAGGAGGCTATTAAAAATATCTTAGGGAGCAAATGTAGCTTAAGAATTTTTATACTGCAAGGAAGCATTTTTAAAAGGTGCTGAGCAACCTTTTCATATTTAGAGAGGCTGCAGAAAATGACTACGGAAAATATTTGTATTGTGGAGAACAGACCTTATGATGAGGAACTTTGGGCTTAATCTCCAGTTTCTCTGAACAAGATGGAAGAGTTAATTTAATTGACATACCTAAGTATTCTCTAAATGCAGACATATCTCTTAAAGATAAAGACATAACAAGAATTTTCTGATGAAAGCTGAAGCAAGTCAAATAGAAATCAGAAATTAGGCTTGATGTAAGTGTCTTCTAATGCTGGTAATTAGACACTAGAACAAACTATTAGCAGATATCTCTAAATTAGAACTTCAAGTCTGTGTGGTGGATGTGCTTTTGCAAAACACACGTGGCTTGACTGAATGTGTGTAACAATTTTTTTAACTGGGCAGAATTTAATTCTACAAAATACCAAATGTGTAATTTGGATTTAATTTTGCTTAATGTTGCCTAAGATTATAAATTACTGTTAGTGTGATAAAGGCATTTTCTGCCTCCAACTCATGTTTAATGGTAGTAGCTGCTTTCCTGTTACTGGTCCTTACTGTAGCATTCACACAAATTCCAACCACTTAATGACTTCTTATTCATTATCATTGGTAAAATTTGTGTGTGTGTGTATGAGAGAGGAAACTAGAGAAAGAGGAACAGAGAAAGAGAAAATAAAAAGGGAGAAAGTGACAGTTATCCTGTAGCTAGAACTGGGATTCTAGAATTTGTTGTGACTTCTTCTAGCAAAGGTCTCACTAGTCCTTGATATTAAAATAGCTTGAGATAAGATATACAGTGATAGTCCTAATTTCCTTATTTTCCATTTGTTTATTGTCACAATATGTAGAAATCAGGACATCTCATAGGAGAACCTCATGCAAAATTGTGTTGCAGTGTAAATCAATACACGTTCAAACATGTGTGTGATTGTATGGATGCATATGGATTCTCTGTAACTGAAAATCCTAGTCTGTTTAATTATTAATTTGTAGTTTTGCATCTATGGTAGAAAAATTTCTAATGAAAATTATAATTTTGAATGTTTTTTAGTGTTCTCTTTCTTGATGGAAAGCAGCTTTGAATCAGTAATATTTAAAATTTTGAAATAGTGTTCTTTTCTGAGGAGAAAATTAGCCAAAATGCTATTTTTATTCAAGTTGTTTCTATATTGATCTTACTACTATTTGGAAGCCAAACAGGAAAGAATTAGATAATTCAGCCGGTTAAAAGCAGTTAAAGTAGTTCATGATTTACTTTGTCTCAATATGAGCAGTGACTGGCTGTTCAGGTCGAAATCAAATTTATCATTGATTTAAATGCAGGTGGGATTGATTGCCTCATGAAATGATTTATAGAATGTTTTATTCTCTTTAACATAGGAGGGAGTTCTTCAGGTTGCAAAGTGTGGTTTTCCTTAAAGATTAACAGCATACCTGCACGACCTGAAAGGAAGATAAGTGTGAAATGCAGAGCTCTGGTAAGATTACTCTAAATGTTTAATTTTGCTTTAGTGCATTAATAAGAAAAAGAAATGTAATTTTTATTGTTGGTCTGGCTGTTATCACACAGCATTAATCAATTTTATTACATGACTACACACAATCACTTTTTGTGTAATAAACCTCACTACTTGGTGAAATCTCATTTAAACTCGATAATATGAACTAAAATGAATGCTTAAAGACAACTAGTTTCTTTATGCTATTTGAATAAGTACACTTTTATTCTCTGCTTTGTTTTTCATTATCTTCTGCTAAAATTTGCTTCTAGTTTTGGAGCTCAGATAAGGTTAATTTCTGTAAAAACTTCAAGTAGCTTATGCACTGCCCACAACAGAATAAATCTGTTTTGGTAAACTGCTTCCTTAAATATGCCAAATGCAATGATGTGTACAAAATTTTACTGCAGGAAAATTTTTGTAGAAATATATCTAAAACACTTACTGGGAAACTACCTCTTCCAGTAGCAAGTAATGGGCAAGGTAAAGCGTCTGAATTTTGCACGTTAGCATGTTTATGTGGGAAAAAAAAATCAAACCCATGAGCAATTTGTAAATTTTTAGAGTAACAATATTCATATACAGTTCTGGGTTGGGTTTGTTTGTTTTTAAGCTGTAGCATCCTGAGTGTGTCTTTAGCACTCACAATTGGATAATGATATTTGCAAAACCTTTAGAAAGATTGATCATTGTGGTAGAAGGAAGGAGAAGGAAGGAATCTGGTGCAAGAAAGAAACACAAAATCTGGAGGAAAATAGTTTTTTGTCTGAGGCCATATGATAATGCATCATCTTGGATCATTTCGTGGTTTGAGGAAAATCAGTGGGGTGAAAAGCTAGATTTGAAGTATTCTGTTGTCTAATAAATTAAGTGCATTTTAACTCTGTAGTTCAGTATAGGAAATTGCATAAAAATAAATAGTAACATTTCTGTATTTTGCAATGTATGGGGCACTGAAATTTTTACTTAAGTGGGGAGCATCCCCTCTGAGAAAGATGAAGGAGGTACTGAGGAGGTACTGCCTCTCTCCAATTTTTTTTTTTTTTGATAAAATCTTGCAAAACACATTTTGTTGATGAAGAATAGACACTGGAATTGTTGACTAATAAATAATATACCTGGGGGCTGTTCCAGAGTGGCCTGAATTAACTGGTTATATGCCAGATAGTTCATGGGGAAGAACTTTTTGTCTCTATTATGAATTGTAGAGATTATCTTACTTAATGCCTGCCAGTCACACTAAAAAAAAGGGCTAACATGGTCTTTGAATGCTATAGAATGGTCAAATACAAGCTGAAAGCAAATTATATTGGCACTGCTATTAGAATGTCATCCATGGATCTAGTTTTCATAGGATGAGAATTGTATTTAAATACTGGAAGAAAATCAAAGGATATCCATAAAGGATTTCCATTTCATGGAGGGACCAAAAAAGCAGGCCTTGTCATATGAATGGTAAGAATTTCTGTGAACTCAGTTTGTCAAAGAGAAAGTGGAAAAGAAATTTTGTCATTTGCTAAGATATATGGAAAATATAGTGGTGGTCTCTCAGTTCTTCTGATCAACACGCAACAGGAACTAATAGGCAAAAATTTAAATCAGAAGAGTATTGAATTTTGCATGGAGTGCCCTAGTGATGGTAATTATCTTCCTGGTGAAAACTTCAGATTTTAAACAGAGCCTTGTAAGGCTTCAAAAGCTGATTTTTTTTTTTAGCAAAAAACATAAACGCCTAGTATAGATTGTCAGTGAGTCAGGTTTAGTAATCTGTTTTTGAGAGATTACTTAGTTACTAAGTAACACGTGAAATTCTGCATTTCTGGCAATATTTGCATCTTATGGTCTTAGGGTCAAATGCAATGCCAATTGAGCATGTCAGAAGTACTTTTCCTGTCTTACACACGTGATTCTATGAAGTGTGTATCTCTGAAACATCCAAAATGGGCCTCAGTGGAGAGAAGTTGGAAAGCCCAGAGGTCTAAACTGCCTGATGAGTGGAGAAAAGGCCTTGTGTGTCTTAACAGGAGGGCCCAAGTGACTGCAGAGCAGGAGAGACTAACAGAGTGGGAGGAAATCCAGGTGAAGTTTCATGGCAGCACCTGTCAGCAGACTGTCACTTAGGTCCTGTAGACAGGATAGAGATGCCAGCTTCTACTTTTGCTAGATAGTTAGCAAAAAGGTAATATCAAACTCATGTATCCACTGCCCCTCAGGACCTGAACTGCCGATTTGATGAGGCGTTGTGTCACCTACCCCCTTGAGTTTCCTCAGTACTTTATATATATATATATATAAAACATGTGTTTATATAGCATGTGTTTTTCAGGTATCTTTCTTGTAAAAATTAATAATTCTGCCTAGATTCTGACTAGATTTAAGATCTAGAAATCAATCTTTCCGATGAGTTTATTCAATATATGCGACAAAAGAAATTTCCATTATTTCAAGGGAAACCTCCTTTTGTCTTCTTCCCTCTAATAACAGTCACTTTCCCTCCTCACATAAGAAAGAAAAAAAAAAGAGGAGGAAATACATGGAAAATAATATATATTTTTTTGACTTTCTGATACAACTCAAGTCTGTTGAAATATTAATAGGCAAGTGTTCAGGCTAAATATTTGGTACAACTAAAATATCTTTCATATATACAAAATGCTTTTTGTAATAGAGTGATACAAGGGTTATTCCAAATAATAAAAGATAATGATTCTTTATAATTGATTTTTAACATATGTTATCCATGTCTGCTGGCAACAGCAACACTATAAAGTAGGATAAATTATCTTTCTGACTGGTTCAGCCACATGTGAAAGATAATTCTGGCTTCCCCCTTGTCCCATTCTACCTTGTTCCTTTAAAATGATAGCTTTTGTTTAGGCTCAAATTGTAATCTAGTCTTTTCTTTTCAATATACATAGTAAATAATATGCATTTGCAAGTAATGAATCAATAAATACTTCAGTAAAGACCTCAAATTTGATTCATATATATTTTCATTCATATATTTGATTCATATATATTTTCTAAAACTTTTTTGTAAGAAACAAATCTAGTAATTCTTCTCATTGCAAATGTGTGTCTCTAAACAGAAAATATATATATTTTTTGTTAGGCATATGGCCACTAGAGTGCACTCCACAGCTTGCATGTTTATAATACAATCCATAAAGGTCAATGCAGTGTTTGAATAACAGAAGTGAATTTATCTTTTTTTTCTTATATATTTTTGTTTATTACAAAAAAAATGGGAAATGAAAACTTCTGTTTTCCTACTTCTAACTGTTTAATACTATCACACTCAAACTTTTTAACTGCTGTCACTTTTCACCATTTCTCCCAAATCATCCATAGTTAAGGTGTTTCGTGTGTTTGAAAAATGTATAGTGCTACTGCTTTGCAAATAGTAGAGTCAAATATTGATTTTAAATCTCTTCACAGTAGCTCTATGTACTTGTATTTCTAAACAAGGAAAAAAATCAAAAATCTGTTGGTTCGGGTTTAATTGATTATCTTCAAAATGGGCTTATTTCTTTTTTTATTCCTTCCTCCTCTTTTTCCTACCTACACGGTTCGGTACATGATTTCAGGTTACATTTAAAATCCATCTAAAAGGAATGGGAATATTATCAGGTAGAGTACTTGCATAACAGCCACACTTGTACATTCTACAGAGACAGACACATTGCTTTTAAGTCTAGACAAGTGACAAATAATCTGCTAAATGCAGGTCTGCATATAAATTCTGAATAGTGCTGAATGGTCATGACCTCAGTATTTATCTTCTAGACTAGAAAAGGTTAAGGCCTTAGCTGATTTCAGCTCTTATTTTTTTGGAATATATTTTTTTGAAATAGACCAAAGGACATGAGCATCAAACAAACAGATTGCATTTCAATATATTTTGAACACAAAAGTCTGCTGGACTCTGAAAATTCCAGGTAGAGCTATAAAGAGTTCAATAAGCTCAGCCCAGATCAAGGTTTAACTCAATGACCTCTCTCTGATGGTGATCTGAAATAGAGAGGTGGAAGAAAGCAGGAGTGTCTATGTGGGATACCATACTTTCATTGCCTTCAGAGCTTTTCAGTTCTGAGTTTTTCCTGAATTGTCTTGGCTGCTCTTAAATTGCTGTGTGCTTTTAGCATACATCATCTTCCTTGGCTTTGAGTTTCAAGAGTTTGTAATCAGTCCCTACCAATCTCACCATGCTTTTCATGGTTTCAGAGATTGCTTTAATACCTCTTGAATTCTCTGTCTTCCAAGATGAAGAGCATGGTGAGGTAGTTAGTCATCCTTGTTTATGTTTACCACTTGGAACTCCATATTTTAGTATTTCTCCAAAACTGAAAAGAAAGAGAAATTGATCCATCAAGTGTGGAAAGATAGCAAAGCAACTGGATTTTATCACTGCTTCTTCTCTAACTGCTTTTCTTGATGAGCTTTGAAGTGTGTGAAGCTTTCAGCATTTAGTCTAGCTAGTTCACCTGTTCTGTTTTTTATCAGTTGTCCTAAGTAAAAATGACAATGAAATAATTGAATGATATATTAGATTGGAAATTTTACTTGCTTAAAATATCCCATGAAGCATTAGATTGGTTTTCTATTGATGACATTTAAAAATGTTAGATGACAAATAACAAAAATTTCTAAATCCCATTGACCTTTAAAAGTGATTCATTGCACAACAACCTCTTATATCAAAAATCAAACTATGACATACTTCCTTGATGCCAGTGCCTGACCATACCAGCTGCAAGAAATGAATTCTTACAAGTAGCATTAGGAAGATCTCATTATATGTTACATTCTGAAGAATGAGGCAAGCTGTATTAACTCAGAACCTGAAATTGGTATTAGGAAATGTTGTAGCAAACACTGAATTGTGAGGTTATAGAAATGTAAAAATATTTAAATAAAATAGGAGAAGGTTCTCTTTTAGGATCAGAAGAAGAAGAACTGAATTTGTTGAGTAGAAGAAT